GAAAAATTTTCTTCTCTAAAATTGTCTCCTTTCACCTCCTTTCCTGCTCTCTAGCAATGTTCTGTTGTCTGCTTTTATTTCCACTTTCTGCCCCCACCCCCTCACCTCCTTTGTCCCCTCCTCTGGGCTCCTGACTCTTTCTGCAGTCTTTCTACTGCTACTCCTTGGCTCCTCCTTACTGCTGTCTTTCTGCCCCACCCCTGATCTTTTGGTAGGAAAGATCTACGCCTAGCCTTCTCGGACAAGGGCGAAAAATCTTGGAGGGCCTGTGTGCAAGTTGCGCACGTTAAAGATCCCTTGGTGGTCTAAAATCTATAAGAGTAGGCTTTGCCGCCACTTGGGCAAAATTCAAAATTTCCTACCAACTGAAAATATTAGGTGTATCCCGCGCGCTCATATGACCTTATGCAGTTGCGAGCGCCGTAAAACACTTACCAAAAAAACCCCCACAAAAAAACCCTGTCTGTAGTCGTTATCTCCCCTTCTTCTTTTTTATGTTTGATACTCTCTTATAACACCTCTAATCTTCTGGCGCTCATATGACCTTATTCAGTTGCCAGCGCCGTAAAGCCTCTACTAGAACTGAAAGAATATTCCCCCCCCCCCTAATTTTGAACTGAATAGCCTTTATTCTTTTCTGCTGTATGACGACTTTGTTGTTTCTTTCTCTCCAGAGGTCTGGTGGCCATCATTTTGGCTTTTCTGCTGTTTGGCGTGATCAACACTCCAGACGGAGCCTTTATCCGTCCACACCCTGGTGAGTTGTTGAGATGGATTATGCAACATTGCAATCAATGCCTTGTAGAATTACACAGTTTCTATTTCTATCTGACATTTTTGGCCGTTATGAGTTCCTAAGACCAAAAGGTCAGAACGCAAATGCTCTAGCTATCTGCTCTTTCAAAATCGTAAGAATATTCGGAGTCGTTTTCAAGATACTTAAAGAATTTCGTTCGAAAAAGCTTGACATATTATTGTGAAACTAAAAAATTTTGACCTAATATTTCTCAAAACTTGGTACTGAGCAGATAGAACTTTGTAATTAATTCTGAGGTAGCGATTGACCAACAGAAAAAGAGATGTATGAATCTATGTGTGCGTGCTTGTGTGCCTATTTGTGCATATGCGTATGTATTTGGCGAATTGGTTAAGCTCTTGGGTTCACAGCCGTTAGGTTGTAGGTATGAATCTCGTCATCAACACTCCAGACTTTGTCTTGCGCTCATATGACCTTACGCAGTTGCGAGCGCCGTAAAACCCTATACTACTACTACTACCACCAGACTTAGCCTTTATCGGTCCACACCCTGGTGAGTTGTTGAGATTGGTTATTGCAATATTGCGCTGCCTTAGCATTGCCACGTCGAGATTGGTTATTGCAATATTGCGCTGCCTTAGCATTGCCACGTCGAGATTGGTTATTGCAATATTGCGCTGCCTTAGCATTGCCACGTCGAGATTGGTTATTGCAATATTGCGCTGCCTTAGCATTGCCACGTCGAGATTGGTTATTGCAATATTGCGCTGCCTTAGCATTGCCACTTCGAGATTGGTTATTGCAATATTGCGCTGCCTTAGCATTGCCACGTCGAGATTGGTTATTGCAATATTGCGCTGCCTTAGCATTGCCACTTCGAGATTGGTTATTGCAATATTGCGCTGCCTTAGCATTGCCACGTCGAGATTGGTTATTGCAATATTGCGCTGCCTTAGCATTGCCACGTCGAGATTGGTTATTGCAATATTGCGCTGCCTTAGCATTGCCACGTCGACAGTGATCACAACAACAACAGTCTTCACCACCAGCACGACAACCATAACAGCAGCAACAACAACAACAACAACAATAACAACAGTAACAACAACAGCAGCAGCATTAGCAGCACAACACCAACGACATGAACAGCAAGGACTTCAACAGCAACAACAACAACAACAACAACAGCAGTAGCAGCAACAACAGCAACAGCAACGACAACAGCAACAGCAACAAAACTCAACAGCAACAACAGCAGCAGTAGCAGCAACAGCAACAACATCAACAGCAACAACAATAACAGCAACAGCAACAACATCAACAGCAACAACAACAACAGCAACAATAACAACAGCAACAGCAACAACATCAACAGCAACAACAACAACAACAGCGGTAGCAGCAACAACAACAATAACAACAACAACAGCAGCAGTAACAGCTACAACAACAACATCAACAGCAACAACAACAACAACAACTGGTATGCCACTCACCTGATCTTTGCTTTTTTTCTCTCCATCTACAGCCTTCTGGAGACTGGTCCTGTGTTTGAGCATTGTTTACGAGCTCTGCTTGGTCTTCATACTCTTTCAGGTAGGTCAAAGGGACACCTCTTGCTGTTTGAGCCGAAGCAGTCGTTTGGCCCCCTAATGTATCTTTTTTTTTTCAACGAGGACCAATAGTGCGGTCAAAAATTCGTGGCGCGACTTATTGTCAAATATCTCCTCAACTATCGAACATAATAAACTCTCCAGCTTTTGCACAGTGACTTGTATCAATTTGGCTTAACAGATCAATATTTCTGTAAAGACCTGTTAGCTCTATTCCATAAAATTCCTTAATAAATACTAATAATAAATCCTAGTGGGTTGTTTCTACTGATTTTAAAAGGTTTACAGCTGGGACGATATTGCTTTTAAAAGCAAGTCTGTCTTTTTTTTCTAATCGCAAAATTATCTTTATTGAACGCATGTTTTGAGAACCATTAGTGCAAAAAAGTGTTCACTGTAAATTTGTTGTAACTAGTTTTGCCACTAAAAAGTACCATTGGTGAGCTGTGACGTAACCCATATATACGTATACAAAATGTGTGTGAAAAGCGGGAAGTGCTGTGAACAATTCCATTTTCGGCGTGAAGAAGATTTGTAGTATTTCATATTAATTTATGAAGAAAGGTTCTTTCGTCTAGCCTCAACTGTTGTGGAAAAATATGATTAAGTTAAGACAAATTGATACAAACTGTTGTGCAAAGTGTGGGTGAAATTGATTCGCCCGTTAAAAAAATATTTGAGGATAAGTTGGGCCTCGAATATTTGACTGCACGTTTGCAGTCCATCGTTTTAACAAGGACACTTATGGTGAAGTTGCCGTGCACAGGCCTGGAGGTTAAAGTTCAGGAGTTTGAAACTATTAATATATTGGGTATGCATGAACAGAATTTTGAAGGTTGTATGCCCAAAAATTGACGAGCGCCTGACTCCACCTCGTGGCAACACAAATGATCTGTCTGCTCTATCCAAATCATAAGATGATTCTGACTCGTCATCAAGATATTCAAAGAATTGCATTTGAAAAAGCTTGACATGTGTGTGAAACTTAAAAATAAAATTTTTCGTCAAAGTTCTCAAACCTAGGCACGGGGCAGATAGGTCTTTGTAATTATTCGAAGGTAGCGATTTGCCTAATAGCATTCTAGCTGTAAGCAAGATCAGAGTTATTGAACTTCGGGGATTTAGGGACAGCTGTGACGGTGTGGCTAATTATAGATTAGAATGTCGCTACCCTACCCTCTAGTCTACTGTCTCGGCTGGTTGGGGGGGGGGGGGGGGGGGGGGGGGGTTATTAGAGACTTGAAGAACAAGCTGTTCTACTTTTGTTATGATGATGATGATAATAATAATAATAATAATTATTATGATTATTATTAGTATAATAATTATAATTATACTATATATATAATAATAATAATTGTAGTAATAGTAACGATAATATTAATAATAATAATGATGATGATGATGACAATAATAGTAATTATAATTATAATAATATTGATAATAATGATAATTGTAGTAATAGTAAAGATAATAATAATGATAATAATAATAATTGTAGTAATAGTAAAGATAATAATAATGATAATAATAATAACAGTAATAATAATTTCATTTATATAGCGCGTATCCACGCTATACAGCATGGTGTATGCACTTTACAACTTTGTTGTTGTTGTGAAATGGTCGCTTTTAAGGACAAGCGGGCTAACCCGGATTTCGGGGGTTTCTAGAAATCTTGACGTACACCAAAAATGGGCATTGCCTTACCTATAGGAGAAGTTTGGTTTCATTGGTGTGCATATTTGTTTGGTTATAAAGAAAACTCTCCTTGTCTTTTGAAGAGACTGAATAAGGATCCAAAAACTCAGATTTTCTGAAAACAGCTTTCACCAGGATAGCCCCCCCCCTTGTGCTTAAAAGCGACCAAATATCAGCACATGGATTAGGGAAGGGATGTTACTCTCTCCCAATTTTCTCTCTTTCATACGGCAAAGTGAATTTGCAAAACAGTAATATTATCCCTTTAGATTATGCAGTTGCGAGTGCCGTAAAGCCTCTACTAAAACCAAACAAACAAATCTTTAGATTAGTTTTACTAAGGGTTTTACAACATTTGCAACACAATTGTGAGGCAGCGTGGTGGAATCAGGCTCTCGTCAAAATAATCACAGTGAAGAAACTTGCATTTTTCCGCAGGTTTGTGAATTTTTATCAAAATTTTGTTTTTTGGCTCAGCACCTTTAATGCCCATTAAAGAATTCATTTCTGTGTGAGATTTTGTGGAAAACGTTGATTAAAGGCACGAAAATTGTAAATTTTCAGTTACTACGGACTCTCCAGCTAAGGAAATAACTAATCTTTGGCGGCCATTTTCCCACTAATTTTACCTCTGAAAACAGGTGACCCCCACCTCCATCTTTCGCAAATATCTCGACTTGTAGTCAAGATAAATAGATACTTTTTTTTTCATCCAAATAAAGACAAGTGAACAAGCTTTAAGATGATACCAATAACTCTACATGCCCAAAAATTGACGAGAGCCTGATTCCACCACGCTGCCTCACATATAGGTCATAATATAAATGCCGAAGATTGGAGGTGTTGCTAAAGAGTAACGTACAAAGGAAAGAAGGGTTAAAAGGTCAGGATGATGGATTATAGAAAAGGGGGAGCAAGCCACACACCCAGAGCACCCGAGAGCCGCCCATACATTTTTTCGAAATAGATGTAATTTTTTTTTTTTAGTTTAGTAGAGGTTTTACGGCGCTCGCAATTGCATAAGGTCATATGAGCGCCAGAAGATTAGAAATGTTACAAGAGAGTAACAAACATAAAAAAGAAGAAGGGGAGATAAGGACAAACAATAGATGTTTGATAGGACTGAAGGAGCAAACCACACCAGAACACCCACCCGCCAACCACCCACGACCCGAGTTGGAGCGGAGCTATGTCTTCTTATCTTTTATTTTATATTTGAGTAAAGAGGAGTACGTCGATACAATAGTGGTCACTTAGTTTTTGTTTGTTTGTTTGTTTGAGTAAGGAGAAGCACACCGATATATACAATAATGGCCCATTTAGTGATTGTAAAATGTAAGACAGACAGAATCAACATTAAAACATTTTTTTTTAGTTATTCGATAGGACAGAAGGAGCAAACCACATCCAGAGCACCCACCAGCCACCCTCATAATTTCTTGAAATAGATGTCGAAATAGTGATGATGATTTCCTGTTTGTTTCCTTCGCAGACTGTCAGTGACGCCCGGCACCTCCTGAAAAATTTTGACAGCAAGCTTGGGGAGCAGCTACCAGAGAAAGCCTATGGGGGGAACTGCCTCATCTATGACGCCAACCATACAGACCCATGGCATAATATGTGGGTACGTACTTGCTGATTGAATGTTGAACAATACAGACCCGTGGCATAATATGTGGGTACGTACTCGCTGATTGAATGTTGAACAATACAGACCCGTGGCATAATATGTGGGTACGTACTCGCTGATTGAATGTTGAACCATACAGACCCGTGGCATAATATGTGGGTACGTACTCGCTGATTGAATGTTGAACCATACAGACCCGTGGCATAATATGTGGGTACGTACTCGCTGATTGAATGTTGAACCATACAGACCTGTGGCATAATATGTGGGTACGTACTCGCTGATTGAATGTTGAACCATACAGACCTGTGGCATAATATGTGGGTTCGTACTCGCTGATTGAATGTTGAACCATACACAGGGATGCCAAATCTGCGGTTTTTCCGTTTTTTTCCTTCGCTTGCAAAGGAAAGGGCAATGGTAAGAGAAATGTTTTTGTTTGCTCATTGAAAGATTTTACAAAGTACGTTTGAGGTGAGATGTGATGCTCCGCTCATTTTCAAGTTTTTTTCCAAAAATTATTTGACATCCCTGCATATTATTTGACATCCCCTGGCGTAATATGTGGGTAAGTACTCGCTGATTGAATGTTGAACCATATGGACCCTTTGGCATAATATGTGGGTACGTACTCACTGATTGAATGTTGAACCATATGGACCCTTTGGCATAATATGTGGGTACGAACTCGCTGAATAAATGTTGAACCATATGGACCCTTTGGCATAATATGTGGGTACGAACTCGCTGATTTAATGTTGAACCATATGGACCCTTTGGCATAATATGTGGGTACGAACTCGCTGATTGAATGTTGAACCATACAGACCCATGGCATAATATGTGGGTACTTATTTGTTGATTAAACTGTTGACAAATGTTTGACATGAAAACAAAAATAAATTGAGCTAAGTGTATGTGTGTGTGTGTATTTAGGTCGTGTATGTATGTACATATATATGTACATACATTTATGTACATAGGTATACATTTATTTCCACATTTACTGTGATCTGTGCGTCAACCTAGGAGCCTGCTTTTACCATGTAAAGCAATTTTTTATCTATAATTTACATGCCTAAGAATGCATTCCCAAAATAGAAATCGTGGGTGGTTGGCTGGTGCTCCGGTGTGTTTTACTCCTTCTTTCCTATAAAAAATCTATCTTCCTGATCTCTCCTTCTTTTTTGTGTTTGTTACTCTCTTGTAACACCTCTAATCTTCAGCACTTATAATGACCTTATTGTGTTGCAAGTGCCGTAAAATGCTTACCAAAACTAAAAATAGAAATCCGCCTGAGAGCCCTTTTTATTTTGATGATGTGTGTGTGTGTTTGTGCATTCGTTCACATGAGAGAGTAATTATTTTTTTCTTTTTTTTCTTTCTTTTCTCTCTCAGGACAAGATGGATGGATTTGTCCCCACCCACTTTTTTGGCTGGTGGTTGAAGGTGAGTGTAATGTACGACTGATGTTATGAAATGGAAAAATGGGAATAACTATGTTGCGAATGTTGAAAGAACGATTCTTTAATATCACAATTATTTCCCCTTCTTGATTTGTCACACACTGTCTCTTTTGGAATTCACACGAGATTTCCGTGTAGAAGAAACAACGATAAAATCAGTTCACCGGCAGGTAGGCAAGAAAGAGGTCGTGTGTTTTCGTCTTCTTACAAGTATTAATCTTTTTATAATGTGAGGCCATATGCAGCCGTCACAGTAAGGAACATTCTTATTCTACTAAAAATAATTCTCTAAAATAAAATGGAAACTATGTAAGTTCAAAGCCTCTTGCAACACTGTGAGGTTATTTAAGAGGCGGGGCCTCCAAATTTATGGTCCATTTCCTATAGGAACTGAACTCAACCAAATGAGAAAATTTGTGTAAAGTGCCTTTCCCAAGGACACAATGTCAGAAAGAGCTGAACTATTGTCCATTTGCTATAGGAATAGGGCCAAGCTAAAGGAGAACATTTATTGTATGAATTCGGAAAGAGCTGAGATCTTGCTATCACTTGATGTCACTCAATGCTTCAAGTCATGAATAAGAAATGTTAACCGTTACCTTTTCTTTTCCTCTTCCCCCTCCCCCCTCCACCTCTCTCCCCCTCCTGCCCCCTCTCCCTCCTCCTGCCCCCCTCTCCCCCCTCCTCTTTCT